GCCGGAATATTGTGGCTGGTAGGGCGTTGGGCCCATTTCCGAGAGGGGAGTCCGATCCCTGCCGGCTGAAGACTCCCTGTTTACAAAATTGTGTCTGGTGCACGCTAAATCTATCGGAGTCACAAAGTCCTCCAAGTTCCTCTAACAAATCCATTCCTCTGGGGGCATGGAATCGGAGATTAATCACTCTCTGGTTCAGTTCAAAATTACGATCTGCGAATAAATGGATGGTGTTTTTGAAGGCGTCCTCCCTGTAAAACCACGCAGGCACCTTGTCTCAGGATCATCACCAGAGATGTTTCCAGACAGTCGCCAATAGCCCATTTTGCAGCTCTAGTTACGACGTAAATAACAATACCTATAGCTTAATAAATTATAGCAATTTACATAGTTTGTGTTCTTTAGTAACTAGTATCTTGGTTTGTAGCAAGGTTGCTAAAGATCCCATTATGAATGAAATAAGTTAATAACACTAGAGAAAAATTTTAATTTTTTTTTCCTTTTAATTTATTTATTTACTTTTTTGTTGCATGCGATTTTTGAGCTGGTCATCTACATTTTCGCGTTTCTGATTTTAAATCTACCATCGGTTTCTCTTTACAAAGCACAGGATCGATACGTTAAGATCATATGCCGATAACAATCTTGTGGTAGAAAGATCGATACGTTAAGATCATATGCCGATAACAATCTTGTGGTAAGAAGATCGATGCGTTAAGATCATATGCCGATAACAAGCTTATGGTAGAAAGATCGATACGTTAAGATCATATGCCAATAACGATCTTGTGGTAGAAAAATTGATACGTTAAGATCATATGCCGATAACGATCTTGTGGTAGAAAGATCGATTCTTTAAGATCATATAACGATAACGGTCTTGTGGTAGAAAGGAGGCGATAATACATTTCAGTTTATGATGTGATATGTTAAGATTTTTGTTTTACGTGATATTTTCAAAGCAGCAGACAAGTATATATGTACGCATATAAATCTATGCGTTCTTTAGAAGCTTTCTACATACAGACAAAAAAAAAATTAATAAACTAAGCCAAAAATATCATATTGAAATAAATGTGTAGCTTTCGGAATAAAAATAATCCTGATTTGAAATCTTTACACCCAAATTAGGTATGATCAAATGCTTACATAAATGCAACAAAAAAATTTGATCTCCAGTTTAATCATGCATATTTTTAACTCAACTTTTAAAAAAAAAATATTTTGATTACCTTGCAAACTCAGAAACCAGTACGTTAAAATCGGAAAATAAGGAGTTAAAAAGTTGTGTGTGACATCTTCCAACTTTAAAAGATGATTCCAAAGACTACTCTTTAGTGAGCTTTTTTGAAACTGCTTAGAGCGGTCAGCTAACTTCTGAAATGTCCATTGTCGTGAAGAACTGATGATATGTTACAATTTTTGTCCTTTATCTAATCAGGAAGATGATAAGTTTGACGATAAGTTATAATTGGTGAGGAATTTACGGCAAATTTTGTTTTCATTTGTCAGGAAACGATTAAAACTTTTATTGATGTAAGACACAGAACTTAATTAGATAATTCTGTCTAGTCAGAAAAAATAAAAATTGTGGCCATCTATTCATTTCTTTTGGCGATAATATGATGAACTATTTTAATGAATATGATTAATATATTAATAATATGATTAACTACTCTAGTTGTAGCGGTCAGAATACAGTTGAAACTTGTATTGCCTTGCCTTCCAGCACAAAGATTCAGTCAAAGTTTAAGTGCTCTATTTAATCGTAAAGTAGTTTGAATTTCCCAGACGAAAAATACCAGTTGTCGATAATAGCGCAATAAATTCTCTTTCTAACGGCCAGAAAACCATTCAAATGTGGACTGTGATTATGTACGAAGTCTAATAAAAATTTGAGCGCTCCAGCTAGTCAAAAAATGACCAAATTTTTACTAAAAGATTCCACCGTCAGAGCTCAATGTGTCTCGCTATAGTCTCGCCTAGATTTTAAAAACCACTTGTGTTATAAGTACTACCAAATTGATAATTTCTTAGAATATTACTGTATGGACACCTGGAATATAAGCTATAATATGTTGCACTAATTACCTTTATTGCTATATAGTTGCATTGTCATTCGATGATGCAAGAATCATTCCCCCGATTCCATTCATCCCTCGCCTGAATTGGAATTGTATGATTAATAGTCATTCGCATCAGTGGCATTAGTTGATTTAGACTATAACTAGCTGATTTGCGTGTCTGTTCAAGTTCACGGTTCTCGAGAGATGCTGTGATATTTCACGGATATTCCCACATAGCTGTGTTTGTTAATGAATGTAATATTCGGTTTGATTTGCAATTGAAACAAGCGTTGAAATAATTGAACAACACTTCATTTGACTCCAAATGATGGTCAGGGTGTTTATTCTTCGGTTGGATTTAATGATGCTAATTACATAGATATATTCGAACCTTTAGTACAGTAAAGAAAACAGATTTGTCAACCCACTTTCTAAAAAAATATTTTTTGATTTTTTTTAAGTAAAGAAAAAAATCCAAGTTAGCATTATTTGATGGTTTCTGAGTTCTGGTAACGTAGTCTGTAAAGGCATCATCTCTTCCTATGCTGGTGAAGAGAAGAGGGTTATAACTTCGATCTTGGACGTCTGTGTGTATATGCAGTTGAATGCACGTTTCGTATTTCGACCTAAGGTCCTTTCATTGCCTGTGTTGTGGAAGTTTGCAGAAAGAGGTACCCGCTTAGGCGCTGCCCACGTCGTCTGACTGGGGTTACATTTACGTGGCAGTTCTATTATGGTTGCTAAGAGATAAAGCCCTCAAAAGTGAACCAAGAAGCTTGGATATGGTTGGGAAGTGTGATAGTTTGTGATGTTTGTTAGAAGTTCAGGTATCTATTTTGTCTTTAAATTATAAACTACTCGTTTTTGTATAATTTTTTCGACAGTGTAAAAATTGGAGATCACTACAGGAAGATGTTTCAACAGGACAAAGGTTTAATCTATAAGAATTAAAACAGTCATTAAAATCTACACAACAATATTTAAAGAACCAAAGAAATGATAGATCGAACCTCCTTGCTTGAGCATGTTTCACTAAGAACGAGGTTTGAACCTACGGAAGTAGAAACAGTTATTGAAATTTACACGAAAATAGTTCAAAGGCAAAGGAAACGATTGGTCACGCCTGCCTATTGCAAGATTTTTTTTTTTGAGAAAAAGGTTTAACCTGCGGAAATTGAAATAATTATTAAAACTTACACAACAATAATTATAGGTCTAGAGGAACGATGAATCAAACTTTCCTATTCTAGAATGTTTCAGCAAGATAAAGGTTTAATCTACAACGGTAACTAAAGGTTAAAAGAAATGATGTATCAAACCTCCCTGCTGGAGGATTTTTATTAAGAAGGAGGTTTGACCTAAAGCAGTTATTAAAATTCATACAATTACTCGTGCACTTTTATACGTGAAGGACAAAAATAGTTTCCCGTGTGTCCCAAGTGCAATTCAGACCAATGTACTCCAGACCATTTGCTCTCCTGTTTAGAGCTGGAGAAGAAGAGGGATCTCTTTGAAAATCCTGTGCTGGTTCATGACTTTCTGTGGCTGAATGGTTTTCTGGACTTGATCTAGCTAAGGACTTGATCAAGTGGAATAAGAAACACAAGAATAATTATAGGGAAAGAGAAGCGATGATATTCGATAATGTTTCAACAAGATGGAGGTTTTACCTACAGGAGTTAAAACAGTTATTAGAATATGTAAGCCAGCAAACTTAGATCAAGATAATTGATGATAATAATTGTGTCGCAAGAAATTTGTTTAGTAAAGCTTTTTCGCATCAACCAAAGAGATCATGGAGTTGGCCAGAGTAGGCCAAGGAGATCGTGGAGGTTAGGGCTCCTCAATTTCAAGATCAACGTCATGGTGATCAGGCCCCTCTTCCCCACTGGGCACTATGGGCACGTGCCCAGGGCCCCGCGATCGAATGGGGCCCCCTAGTTCCTGCCAGATTACCAAATGATAACCGATACATTATTACCGAAAAACATTAATTTTGAAAAATCTGATGATAATGACTTACTACAATACCTACGCTTATTATATTAGCTTTAGTTTGCCGCATGCGGATAGCTATACCTTGTACAACATAGCTTGAACTTTTTGACAGATGGGTCAGTGATGGGAAACAGAAAATATCTATTGGTGTAAAAAATGTGTTGGCTAAATATGTGGCTGTATGTATGTTTTAAACTATTCAAAATAAATAAATTCATTCGTCAATCAATTTTATTGCACTAGACATAAAAACATTGGGTAGGTAAGAAACCATTGTTTTCAGTTTTTCTATTTAAATTTTACCTCGAAGCAATAAAAACCACTTAAGACTTTCGGAAAATGCTTGAGTCCTTAACAGGTACTTTTATGTTGTGTGTCTATTCTTATGATTATTATCAATTTTTAATATTATTAAAATAAGAAGATATTGTTCGTCGTTGCAAAGTTATATCGATTTCAGATTTGACATCTGTCAAAAAGAAAGATCAAACTAATAAATAAACAGGGTATAATACTCCACTCTCTCTCAAAAATGAGTTTTTCCGATATTAGTATGTTTAGGTTAATTTAAATACCTATATGTAAGTATAAGAATACAATTTAAAAAAAAATTATTAAATTAAAAAAAGAATTATTTGATGCGGTGTGGTTTATGTCTTAAAGAAACCTATTCGAACGTCATTCGTAATACCAAAGACAAAAAAGGGGAATTCCCGATTCCCGATCGTCGTTTGACTTGACGAACGGGAATTCCCTTCAAGTATTTGTCTGCGATGTTGTGGCGTTTGTTTTGTTTGTAGTTGTTAGTTTGTTACTGACTGTGCTCGAGCTCTGATAAAAAAAATAGTATTGTTTGATTAAATCGTCGTTTTGTCTGTTTTGTGTTAGCGAATATTTTCGTTATAAAATTAATTAAATAGTGAATTATAATATAAAATGTCGAAACGGTCATATCCTAGTGGATCTGAAAAAAGGAAAAAAGCTCTACATCAGAAAGAAGTAATTGAAAAGTTACCAAAATTAACATCATATTTTACTACTACTACTGGAGAAACTTCTGTAAGTAGCAATCAACTCATAAATGTTCCACATGATGACTCAGCTCAATTACAAATTGCGGGAATTTCTAAACCTTCATGTTCCAATTTTGAAAAAGAGATTGAATCAGAAAGCGACTATTCCTACGACGAAAGTGCAACGACTTCAGTGACTTCACTAAAACCGACAACTCCAACTGTGTCAATTGAACAGCAGTTTTCCAACACAGAAGAATTAATATCGCACGATCCCGCCGATTATTTTCACGAAAAGTTTGTTGAAATAAATCGCGAAATTTTAATTCGTAAGGGACCAGTATATTTTCAAAATAAAGATTCTGACTTTTCCGAGGCATCCAGAACATACAAAGATGGTAATAAATTAGTAACGAGATATTTCAACAAAGCATTATTTATTCGCAAATTAAAGAACAATGAAAGCGTCGAAAGAAAATGGTTGCTGTATTCGCCTTCCAAATGCTCTGTATTTTGTTTTTCATGCTGCTTATTTAACCCAACTGATGTTAATCTTTGCTCTCGGAATGGATGTAATGATTGGAAGCATATTAATCACATAATTTTAACACATGAAAATAGCCCAGCGCATAAGCAATCTATGATGACTTATCTGGCACGAAGTAAAGCGGTTGGTAGAGTAGATATAGACTTATTATCTCAACATCAAAAGGAAGTGGATTACTGGAGAAACGTACTTAAACGGATTGTAGCTGTTGTAAAATTTTTGGCATCGAGAGGGCTTCCATTTCGCGGCGACAATGAAATCCTAGGATCTCCAAACAATGGAAATTATTTGGGTTGTGTGGAATTATTGAGTGAATTTGATCCATTTCTTGCAGATCACTTAAAAAAATTTGGGAATCCTGGAAAGGGTAACATTTCTTATTTATCAGCAAATATCTGTAATGAGTTTATTGAAGTAATGGGAAAACAGGTTCTAAAAAAAATTATAAATGAAGTTAAATCAGCAAAATATTTTTCCATAAGCGTTGACAGTACGCCCGATCTGTCTCATATTGACCAGCTAACTTTCATCATTCGATACGTAAAAGACTGTGTTCCTGTTGAAAGGTTTTTGAAATTTATACCTATTAAAGAACATAAATCTAAGTATTTAGCGGAGACCATCTTAAATTTTTTAGAGATACATGATATTCCCATAAAAGATTGCAGAGGACAAAGCTACGACAATGCTTCAAATATGTCGGGAAAGTATAGTGGTCTACAAACAAGAATCAAGGAAAAATGTGAATTTGCCACCTTTATACCATGTGCAGGACATTCACTAAACTTGGTAGGTGTCCATGCTGCTGGGTGTGTACCGGAGGCATCACAGTTTTTTGAAATAGTTCAGAAAGTGTACAACTTTTTTTCGGGCTCTACCCACAGATGGAATATGTTAACAGAACATTTAGGTTCAAAAAAAGTTGTTAAGAGTCTTTCACAAACCAGATGGTCAGCCCGAGCTGATGCAGTAAGTGCTTTGCATGGGGGTTATAAAAGAATATTAGAAGCTTTAATCACCATCGCAAACGATACTGAACAGGCACGAGAAACAAGAGACGAAGCCCTTAGTCTGTCTAGAAAAATGGGAAATCTAGAATTTATTATACTGACGGAAATCTGGAGCACTATATTGGAAAGAATAGACAAAACAAGTAATTATCTTCAGAAAGAAACAATAACACTGGNTATATATATATGGGGAAATTAGCTTTCTTTTATTTGTTTCTTGATCTTCCTTGTACATATTTTGCAAAGTTTTACTTTTTTTTGTAGTTCTCCGATGCGATTTCTTCTGCATCTGTCAAAACTTTTGGTTTAGAAGGATGAATGAAATCTACCTAAGAGCCATTTCGTAAAAAATATCAAAAACATAGTAGAGTAAAAAGTATACTAGCTATTAATATACTGATCTATAATGACGCAAAGAATTTGACTTTTCTCATATATTCAAATTATGAAATTAACTCTCAAAAACAGAAGACTGGAGTTTTGTATTGACATAATTTCGTTAGAAGAAAATGAAAATACAATCTAAAAGACCAAACACATCTCGAATTCCGATAAGGCGATGGCCTTGAATTTTATAGGCATCGAATGACTCTGACGAATAGAAGCAATATCCACCATTATTTTATTTGTATAAATTAAATAAAGAGAATTAAAAGTACATTTAGAATTCTCTACCACTTCGACCTCTGAGTTCGGCCGAGACGTCTCTTAAGAATCCAATTGCAACAAAAAGAAATACGTATTTAAGAAAAAGAACTTTTTACGACCAGTTTCCTACTTAAAATATAAGTAGGACCTGCACCTTTCCTTAACCATTAAAATTGCATCGTAAAATGAATATCCTAACACGAGGGGGGAAGTCATTTAGTGCGTCATGATGTAGCAGTCCACAAAATATTCATCATATTTTGCAATCACAACAAGCAATGAAGTTTTATTGTTCAAAATTTATTCGACCGATATCGTATATTCAATTCAATTTTATTTTTATACGAGCGTTTGATTTATCATCAAGAAATTAAATATTTTATTGCTTTTTTAAAGAAGATGTGTTTAAACGTCCCTCTAAAATTATAATAGATATCTTTTAGAGCCGTGGTGGATTAAGCGATAGAGCAATCGCCTCCGAGTAAGGTCAACCAGGTTCAAATCCCAGCGATGGCTTGTCAATTCGAATTCTGCACCCGGCTTTCACCAACCATAGTGCTGACGCAAAATATCCTCAATGGTAGACGGATCATGTGTTAGTGTCTCCTTGTCGTCAGGCTAACCGTGAGAGGTTTTCGCGATTTACCTCTTCAAGTAACGCAAATGCGGGATAGTTCAATCAAAAAATCCTCCACGAAAGCAGCAAAATGTCTTCCAATACTTGATCCAGGTGTTCCCTTGTCTTCTGGATTGAATTCAAAATTTTGAGGCTACGGAGTTGAACGTTGTTAGTCGTAAAACCTAAATTGGTCAGCTATTCAACATCGGTTATAAATAGATATCTTTTTGGAAATTGGAAGGCATAAATGAATATTATTTCTAAGAATAATGTGTCTTAGTTGGCATGAATAGGTAAGAAGATGAATAAATATAAATAAGAATAAATACAAATGAGAGGTGATCAAATATAAATGAGGCTTGTTTAAATAACTAAATATTAAAATATGGCGTTCAAAAAATACAAAAATGATATTTTTCTGCACAATTTCCGTCTACTCACTTTTCCCAACGTTTTGAAAGACTTTTAATCCTGGTGGCATGGAAAGAAATGGGCCGTGTTGTAAACCAATTGCACACAGAATCTTCTACATCTTCATGGATAAAAATCTCTCCCCCCCCCCAAGAGCTTCTTAGTTCCAAACAAATGGTAGAGAGCCGCGATAGCTCAGGGGATAGAGGCCAATGAGGCCAATCGGGTTCAAATCCCAGTCGATACGAATTCCGCATCCGGCTTGTACCGACCACAGTGCTGACGTGAAATATCCTCATTTGTAGACGGATCATGGGTTAGAGTCCCTTGCAGTCAGGCTAACCATGGGAGGTTCTCGTGGTCTTCCTCTCCATGTAACGCAAATGCTGGTTAGCTCCATCAAAAAAATCCTCCACGAAGGCAAGTTTTTCCCAATACGTGATCCAGGCGTTCCCCTGTCTTCTGGATTGGGTTCAAAATTACAAGGATACGGAGTGGAACATTAGTAGGGATAAATCCATAAAATTGGGTCGGTTGTTCAACGATGGCTATATCATAAAATATAAAATAAAGCAAATGGTTGAAATAAGGTGCCAAGTTCAAGCTATATAGAGGATGTTCAACTGTTTCCTGTAACTGTTTGTTTTATTACGGAGGCTTTATGAGGTGTTGCACAGTTTTGTTTCATAAGCACTTTGCTCATCAGCATGCCACGGACTGAAAGTCTTTGACTTTCTCTAAAAGTTCACGATAATAATTTGCCATTTATTATTAATTGTTTATCGTTCATCGATGAACAATTAATGATATCTATTAAGGAAATCGATGTACACAAAACCACGCGAGTCTTGGAAAATACTTGTGAGTACCTTATCAACAAATAACAGAGATTTTGTTTTGAATGGAACAGATTCATTTTTCCAATGCCGTTTCATACTGTAGCACTTTGTTACAGGGGTGTTTGTTATGAAGCAGCCAAGATTCATGACAAGATCGAATCAAAAATGAATCTTTTTCTGCTTCATAGCGACTCATTAATCTTTGACAAATATCTTTTCTTGCATCTTTTTTATTTGTGTTCAAAATTCTAGCACTCACCTCGCTGAGATTTAACGATATTTCTAATCTTCTTGAACTATGGTTTGTAAACTTCATGATGACTATAACTCATCTCTGTTATCACACCCATTTCTTGAACTTTATTTAGTCAGTCGTTATGAATAAGGTAAAGAACTTTGTCAATTTTCTCTGTCGTAAGACTCGTTCTCGGTTGGAATGAATGAGGCAAGTTTTCAACTTCTTTACGGCCTTCTTTAAATAACTTGTGCAATTCGTGTACTTGAACTCTCCACGGGGTATCATTGTTCAACTGTGCCTGCAATCACCCAAAATTTCAATAAGTTTGACATTTTCTCTAATTAAAAATTGAATTATTGTGCAACTGCGTAAGAAACTTTACGCCTACTCATGATTCAAGTTATTAAAAAAAAAAACTTAAAAATAGCTAGCACACATTTATTTAGACTTTAGATTAAGTTCTATTGTTGCCATGAAAATAAGAATAAACATCATCTGCTGCTAATAAAAAAAAAAGTCTCATTTATATTTGATGCATCACTACGTATATCTTATTAACTATTTTTCAAAGCTAATTGTAAAATAATTATTACTAGTTAACATCTACTTAGATAGGAGAATATTTAAAGTATTTTTGACATACTCATGTATACCATATTAATGAACTACAGTCAATATTAAATATCACTTATGTAAACGATACTATAAACCAATTACATAATTAAGAGAGATTTTTTAGGACCAAATGTAGTGCTCTAGTACCATATGTCATTATATTTTCAATTTTAAAAAGTCGCCAAATATATCGTTAAAAAGTCTTATTTGACAGAAGCATTAGAAAATGATGAAAACAGGCTTTAATAACCCTTTGAATTTGGAGAGTACAATTTCATTATGCTTCCTCTTATTCATCGCAAAAAATGTTTATTCAGTTTGGAGGTTGAAGTCAGACCAGGTATCTAAAGTTATAATAATTATATATTTCACAAACAAAATGATCTTTGCATTTTTGAAATATAGCGATTTAAAGAATAAAAATAATTATGAAGGAGAAGAAATCATGAAAGTCTGTGTGAGGAGCGAGCTCCAGTACCTCCTAGAAGAGAGAAGGCCTCAGCACGGGTTACCATAATCAAGAAATTTGATCCCTTAATAGTCCAAGCGTAATGACATCATAACATAATGAGCAAACCGCTACTGCGCAGCTTAGTAGCCCGAATCTACTAACAAGTTTCTTATTTTTCCTCCACTACGCAGTTTATGTCGGTCACGTCAAACAACTAAATGGATCGATGCTGAGGCCTTCTCTCTTATAGGAGGTGTTGAGCGAGCAGAGGAAGGAGCTGCCTAGTTTATTAAAAAAATCATAATAGTGCAATAATTCGATCTAATAATAATTTTTCTAGTTATACCTGTAATTTTAATCTACTTTTAAAAGTTTAAAAGTTTTCTATAAAAGTTAATTAGAGATACTACGTTGGAATTAAAACGCTAAGTTTTTACAAAGATAAACACTCAAAAAAACAAAGCGCAGTTTTGTTTGTTGTTTGACATGCATTCTTAAATTAGGAAAAAAAGTTCGAACGAATCTTCTTTTATGTTTGATTTAATCTCGAATTTTTTTTCGTTTCGAATCTCTAGGACGTATCATCAATGATTCATTCTATAGTGATTGTTTCTTTTCAAGTACAGAATTTTATAGTATTCCAGTTATAAATGATATAGGAAGTAAAACTTTTTCGCAACAGAATAGTTAAGAAAACTCTTTGTTTTTCTTTTTCGGCGACTTTCTCAAACAATAAGTTTTCGTATGTTTGAAATTTATTTTCTTAAAGGAAATGTTTGATTGAACTTACAGAGAAAATGGTGATTTATTCATCTTAAAAGAATTTTTGATTAATATCTCTTTAATTATAAACGAAATTTTGTGTACCTTAACTCGATACAGAATCTGTGATTATAATTTTCATTTTTCGAGGTGCATTGTTTTTATATTTATTTGCGTTGCGTAAGCTAAATTTTTATGGTTCGTATATTAAGTCTCTGTAAAAGTTGATAAGTAATTCATCTTTAAAATTTCTACAATTTCCCCTTTAATCAATGCTTTTCTCTTTTAGGAACGTATCCTTTTTTCAATAGGGTTAAGACTGGTAACTCAATTATTTAAATCTTAAATTTATTCCAAAAAAACGGGAAATTAAATTTACTTTAATAACATTAAGTATTTTTTTAAACATTTGTCATTTAGAGATGATCTTCTTTAATATTTAGGTAGTTTATTCTAAATTTAAAAAGCTTTTACTCTGTCAAAAGTATTTACTATTTCAAAAGCTTTAATGCTTAACTCTAAGATATTTCAAGAAATGGAGTTTTCGGTAAATGGCTTATTTATTACAGGGTTCCTGTCCTCCAGCTCGTAAAAAAAACAAAAACTGCTATCAATT